CTCTTAGCCTCCGAGCCATCTCTCCAGCCCAAGATGGGCAGTTTTAAGAGTCCCTTTTACCCACCCATTAAAGCTTCTTACTCATGAACAAAGGGAACTTTTAGTGAAGCAACAGGGACCCCGGGTGTTACAGACAGGATGAGGTGGGGGATAGTCTTGCTAGAAACTTCAGCAACAACGAACTCATACTCCCTCCATGGCCTGTTCTCAGATAGAAGGATCTAGAATCCCTATTTCCAGGGTAGTCTCTGTCAGTGTCCTGAGGACTTTGCACTGGAAGGGCAGTAAATTCGAGACTTAGAGGCTGAGAGGAGGGTTTCGTGCTTCCCTGACTGTCCTGGCTGGAGTGCGGGATATTCTAGGGTTAGGACCAAATGTCAGAGCCCAGCCCTGGGCAGGTCTGTGTTGATGCAGTTCTGACCATTGGCTCAGCAGGTTCAGAGGCTGTAGGAGACAGATCAAGCCAGACTGGCTGCATCCCAGGAGCCAGCACTGATAGCTAGATTGAGTAAGGGACCCAAATGGAACCATGTACCCTGAAGGAACAAATTCCTACTGGTCCATAGTTGATGGATGAAATGGGGGTTGAATAAGAACCCACAAGGGCCTTGGGCATAATGGTCCCCAGAGTATCCCAGCATCGTTGGATGGCATCATTGTGCCTGCAATGTGGAGAAATCCTCTGCGGTTCAGACACAAAGCCACTTGTCTGAGACTAGCTGCTAACAAACTCGCAGGGCCAGTCTGAGGATTCCAGGCTGGGCCAGTCGCAAGTGACCCTGTCTATTCCCTCCTAGGACCAGGAACTAGAGAGCCTGTCAGCCATCGAGGCAGAGCTGGAGAAGGTGGCACACCAGCTACAAGCATTGCGGCGGGGCTGAGGCACCGGCTGGTGGGGCCAGCCATGGCTTCAAGGCACCCTGTGACCCTGGTCCCGTGGTTTGAATGCGGCTCCCAGTAGGGAGGCTGCCTCTGGCCACCAGAGCCCAGGTTGCCCTCTTGCCCCTCATTCCCTCTTGTTCTCAGCCCCTGCCCTGGACACTTCAGCAGGACAGCTCTGACTGTCAACACAGATTCCTTCTCTGAACACAGGCAGCTTTCTAGAAGTTTCTCTTCCACCTTATCCATGGGGCACAACTGCAATAACTTCTGACCTTTGGGTGAAAGTCGTGAACTCCTGACTATACAATATTCCAGATAAAATTTGTTGACAGAAGAATAAACCTGCTTTGGGCTCTTTCCTTTTCTTTGACTTTTTTCTTTCCCCTTCCACTCAGAGTTGGGTAGAAGGACTGGGTAGTTTCATGGCTGGGTTGAGTGTGTATTTTGGGGTACTCCTTTCTGGGCCATTTACTGGGCAAGTGTCTTTGTATCACCGAGCCTCCATTTTATTTGTAGATGGAGGTGCTGAACTGCCCAGAACGGGACGTGAGGATGATCACCACCCTAGGGTGGGGTCCAGCACCCTTTGCTCACTATCTCTCAGCCACTCCTGAGCTGGGGAGTTTCTGCTGCGATTGTCCTTCTGGGCTGCCATCTAGCTGCCTTGGTGCTGTGCAAATGTTGACAGGCCCCAGGAAAATACCTCTGCCTGGTCACAGGTACCAGGTCAATGCTGGACTCCCCACCATGGCTTCTGTGCTACTCATGTGTCAATGACCACAGGCATGGGAGCATGGGGTGTCTGACATATGGGGCAGGAACCGTATACTAGAAAGTAACAGGTCTGCTGGGCGGTGGTGGTACATGCCTTTAATCCCAGCACTCGGGATTAAAGACGCAGGTGGATCTTTGTGAGTTCGAGGCCAGCCTGGTCTACAAGCTAGTTCCAGGACAGGCTCCAAAAACTACAGAGAAACCGTCTCGAAAAAAACCAACCAACCAACCAATCAAACAAACAAAAAACAACAACAACAAAAAGAAAATAACAGGTCTTAGGTCCAGTTTTGAGAATAGGGAAACAGAGGCAGCGGAGATGAAATAGCACATTGAAGTCACAGATGGAGCTGACGCACCAAACTTTTAGGCATGAGAGTTTTGTAAGTTATGCAATCATGCCAGGCTGAGATGTGGTGCTGGACCCACGGGTGCTGGCTACTAGGACCAATCATTCAATCACTCATCAAACATTTCTATGCTGCCTAATATGCCTGCACACAAAACTTGGGATGAAACCCTGGCTTCGGAAACCCGATGTCTCACGGGGTAAGTCGGATCCTCCTACAGCCAACGCAGCCTCTGATTGTTGGGCTGGTGAGTGGCTCTGCTGGCTTCAGACGGGAATGTTATCTCTTCGTGTTCTCCGCCTGTGCACCTCAGCTAAAAGCCAGCAGGTGAGGGGGACTTCCAGGTGGGGATGATGGAGACTGGGCCCGGCCTTAGCAGTCTGCCCAGCAAGGACATGTGCACTGACCGAGGGGCAGGGATATCACCACTACCCCAGGCAGAGCCAACTCCAGAGTCCCAGCTGGTATTTGAGAGCCAAGTCCCAAGGGTCCAAACCCTGCCTCAGTCCATCCATATTCACTGTGGTGATATTTTGTTTGTTTTAACAAACATGCCTGAAGATCAGAGTGCAGAGCTAAGTTACTAGAGGCCAGGCAGTATTGGCTCACACCTTTAATCCCAGTACGTGGGAGTCCCACGTCTTTAATCCCAGCACTAGGCAGGAAGAGAACATAAGGTGGGTGGGAGACAGGAGCTCACATGCAGGTTTGATGGACACAGTCTGAGGACACAGTCTAAAGTGCAGTCTGAGAACGCAGTCTGAGGACAGGATCACTCTTTTGGTAGAGGTAAAAGGTCTCTAGTGGCTAGCTATACTACTTCTCTGATCGCCCAGCTTTCACCCCCTAATATCTGACTCTGGGTTTTTATTATCAATACCTATTAGAATTCGTGTTGTAATTCACTACCTAGAGTGCTTGGCCAGCCTTTCTGACCCACCCAGAGCCTCAGTTTCCCAGTATGGAATTCAGTTTGTACTGAATTGTGGTAGGGTCCAACTGTGTGAGGCAGTGCAGACCCCAAAGTCCTACAGCAGCGGAGGACATGGTAGGACACAGATGGGAGGTGGGAGGTTTTCGCCTAAATGTTTCCAGCGTGGCCTAGCTTCTCGCTGCTACTGCAACCTGCCCCTGAGGCAAGGCACAGCCTGCATGAGGTCACTGATGAGACGCGGCTTTCTTCAGGCTTATACACCTCCTGACAGTTATGCAATTACACCAACTCTCCCTAGGCTACCAGAGACCAAAACCATCCACCACCAAGACCAAGTGGCAACAGAACACAGGGACACTTTGTCACCAGAAGACCCCATCCCAAAGATGAGCCACCTGCATTGTCATTACCACAGGAAGTAAAGATAGAGGCTGGGCAGGAGCCAGTGTGCAGTGGCTTTGTTCAAGAGCATACGGTGTGCAGATGTGCACAAGACACACGGGGGGGGGGGGGGGGAGCAGGAGCTGTCACAAAGCTCGGGCGTGGTCATTACTTAGCTCCTCAGGTAGGACAGCACGGTAAAAAGCCTGGGTGAGCTGTCAATGCAGGGAGCCTTGGGGAAATGTCACCTCCTGTCCTGTAGGGGCCCCTCCAAGATGCCAAGTCCCATTAAATCCAGGAATCAAAGAAAACTCAAACGTTATTTCTGAAAAAGACTGGTGGGGGAGGTACCTCCCAGTCAGAAACAGAGGGAAGAGGACCCAAGTAGGAGGGGCCGTGCTGCTGTGGTAGTCAGCCTTCCTCTGCACAGAAGAGTAGGCTGGCACTGGCCTGACACAGGCCTTTACGAGGGTGGGGGTGGGGGGTGTCTGTGGAGGAGCATTGGAGATGGTGGCAGCAGTAGCCATAGTAGGCCTATGTGAAACTGGAAGCCCCTCGACCCTGGAAGTTCCCACCAGGAGCCATGGTACCTGCTCACCCATACTAGAGGAGGCAGGCTCCTTCAGACCAGCATGAGGGCTCTGGAATGACAGGGGCAGTGGGCCACAGCAAGTTGCTGGGATCCTACTGGTTAAGTGACTGACTTACAGGGACTATAAAAAGGCTGTCAGCCCCTCCCAGGGCATCAGCTCTAGAGTCAGCAGGGTGTGACTGCTCTAAACTAGACAAGGGCCAGAAGAAAGGCTGTGTTCTTCTTCTGTCTCCGAATGCCTGTCCACCAGACACTATTTGCCCCAGCTGTTAAAAACCCAGCTTCTTCCTGTGGCCTTAAGAAAAATGTATGTGTGTGGGGACCCTGTAAAGGCTCAGGGACCAAAAGACGGTTGGAGTATCTGTTTCAAATACTCTCTGCCCACTCCTCTAAGGTAGGGTTTCTCCCTGAACCCGGGGCTCATATTTCCTCCGCTAGGCTGGAAGCCAGCAAGCCCCAGTGGTCCCGTCTCTATTCCCTATGCTCTTGAGTTGGAGTTAGAGGAGAATGCTGAATGCTTGGCTTGCTACACAGGCGCTGAGCTCTGAACTCCCGTGTCACGACGGCACAGCAAGCATTCACAGTCACCATTTCTCCAGCACCCCCATCCATCTACTGGGCTTTTGACTTAATGGAGTCATCTGGGCAGCCTCAGAGAGATGGTTTTTCCTCCACTGATGGGGCTCAGGCCCGGGATAGCCCCCTAAGTAATTTGAGGCTAAGTAATTCCAGTTCTGCAGGCTAGCCTACCCAGTGTGTGGCAAATCTAGACACTTCTGTAAACCAACAATGTTTGACCCAGACCCCACTCATCTCTCTCGGTGAGGATGGACACCAGCAGCCAGGGTTCTGCAGTGCCATGTTGGGGGAAAGTCACAGTTCCGGATCATTAAAGCACTTGCAAGAATGCGGCCCCAAGTCCCTGTCCTGTCTCCGCTTCTGGATAATGCCACACTGCCAAAGGTGTGACCATGGAGGAGGAGTTCCAGGGAACGGGACACTAGTCTACACCCCACCTGTTCTGAAGGCTGAAAAGCCAACATGCCTTTAAACATCTTTTCTTTAATGACTGTGACCACGTATGGAATGTAGTTTGATCTCAGTAGTTTATTCTGGAGACAAAGCAGTGCGAGAGCCGGCCACACTTCCCACCCCGTATTCAGAGGCAGGCCTGGGAAGGCGACATACAGACATCAGGTTCAACACTCAGGTCCTGTAAACGTGGTTAGTTCCGGGGTTCCGTTCCCAAGAAAGTCAACCAGCCCCTCCTCACCCAAAGGATGCTCCACCATGGCCCTACTTGGTAGCCTCCCCAGGGCTGCAGGGTACTTCCTCTAGTGTCCTCCATCTTATTTGGACCTACGGACAATCCAAAGGCCTAGTTCTCTTTGCAAAGTGAGCTGATATCCTAAGACACAAGATCACCCTTGGGGGGCCCTGGGCTGATCATCCAGGGCTCCACAGGTGTCCTTTCCTGTGGGCTCTGGGGCCAGCGGGTAGCCTGCCAGCTGCTGTGGGGACAGAGTGAGTCTGAAGTGGGGCGCAGCTCCCTTGGGGGGCTTGCCTAGTGCTCGGTGCAAGGGACTTGCTATGGACACAGCAGGGCTGCACTGGGCCTTGCTGGACCAGGAGGGGCTGGTGTGTGTGTACAGGAGCAGTCCTAGCGACGGGCTCCTCTCACCTGAAAAGAGGGACCCAGATGATGGCATGGGAAAGCAGGCATCCTCGTGGGCTAGAACACTAGGTCAGCTCTTCAGTTTCCTGTATCAGGAGCCACCTCGAAGAGATGAGGAGGTGGAGGCCTGGAGACTCGTGGAATGATTTGTTCAAAGTCCCAGCACAAATCCTGGGTCCCGATAGACCCCTGGACTCCTAGCTAGGTAGCTTCCTTCCTGGGTCCCAGCGAGCAATAGAGCCAGGCTGGAGAGTATAGTAGCCTGGTGTATTCTACAGAGCCAGTAAAGACTGGCAATAGTTAGGGGGCTTTGGCTCCACCCACAGGAGGCTTCTTTTCCCTTCCCACAGCCCAGACCCCCAGTACAGAGCTCCCAAGGGGTCAACTGCTTCCCTGGCTTTGGAGAAGAAGGGTCAGCTGCACAGGGGCAAGGGTTAGCTTTGGAGAAGACCACATCTGGGAAAGGAGGACGGTGAGGTCGGTGTGGGCAGATGTGGGAGGGGAGGAATGGGGGAAACATTCATCCTTTTGCCTGCTTAGCTGCAACAGCCTGGCCAGATATGGGCTCCTTCCAGGGTACCCGGAAGCCTGGCCCACACAGCAGCCATGAAGACAGACATGCACACACACACACACACACTTGCATGACAACCACACACACATGCACACACCCCACTTCACATTCAGACCTAGTGTTGAGAACACAAGCGTGTGTAAACTCAGTGAGGAGATCTGCACAGGACTCAGGCGGCATCCTCGATGCTGGACCACTTGGTGCTCTGCTCTGTCTCCCCCCCTCATTCCGATCATAACATCAGAAAATCAGGTAAAAATTTAAAACAGAGAAGCATCAGATCACTGGGAATTCTTAGTAGTGTTCCCGTCTGGAGCTGCTGGCCCAGTGAGTGTGTTCCACGCTCTGCGCCGCCCCTCTGGGTCCTGGGCTCTGTGACTACTGTGAGGAGGCCTTGGTGGCCAGGGAGGCCACACAGTGCTGCTGGAAGCTGGGTGACACACCGGTGGTGCAGCCAAGTCTCTGATGTGGCAGCTTGGCAGAGCCACCGGCGCCCATGTTGCCTGCTTCGGTCTCAGTCTTCCAGGTTGTGTCCTGGCCCTTTATGCTGCCACAGCAGCCAGGGTTGGCACTGCACGTCCGCTCACCAGCCAGGCTGCCCGCCTGTTCCGCCAGAAGCCTGTTGTGCCTCAGCGGGGCCACTTCCTCCACGGCAGCTCCGCCTGTGCTCTGGCCTTGCAGGACTGTGGCAATGTGGTTCAGGAGGTCGGTAAAGAACTCGCTCACACCCTCATAGCCTGGAGCGGGGAGAGACAGAGGTACGGGGCATTAGCCAGGGAATATGAGAGGAGACAGAAGCAGAAGTGATGGGCTCCTGGGACTCGGGGGGGGCATTTTCAGCATCGCAGAGTGGTGGGAGCCACAGAGGGTGGCACACACGGTCCCCAAGGCTGGCCCTTGACAACTGTCTAATCCCCGAGTGTGGGATAAAGATGAATCTTGTTTTTGTGGGGCATTTCCCTGGCTCACCCACTGCTATAGTTTGGGTAAGTAGTGTGCGTTCCAAAGTCCATGCGTTAAAACATTTGTTGTTAGCTCAAGGAGCTGCTGGGAGGAGTTGGAAGAGCCCACTAAGGAGACCAGCTAGCCATTTCAGACACACCTTCTCTCCCCTCAGGTAACCAGCGGCCTCTGACAATACTTCCCATATATCTGCCCTGTTACAGGCACAAATCAATGGGGGAGAAATCATCATGGACTAAAACCTTCAAAATCCAAATAACCAAAATAACCTTTCCTCTTTAAGCTGATCATCTTGGGTATTTTGCTGTAGTAACGGAAAACAAAGGAACATAACCAGCCAACACTGACATGATACAGTCAGATGGCAATGCCAGAATGTATTCCTCATAGGCTTACTGATAAACTGTGAGTCTGGCCCCAGACCTGGGTCCTGGTCACTGTATCCTATCTTGAGCCTCAGCTCTCTTGTCCACACAAACACAGGAGGGCAGGCTTCTGTGAGCATACAGGAGGACTAGACCTGGGTGGGTCTGAGCCAGAAGCCACAGCCCAAACCAAATCTGTTTCCTCTCGCCCCAGACACCTTCAGGGATGCTATCTGTGCCCCAGACTCTGAGGACCAGCACCTAGGAACAGACTGCCAAGACTACGATCTCTGGTATAGAAACTTATGGTACTCACGGGAGTGGGGGTACACTTTCACACACATGCACTCACACATGTGCACACTGCAGACATGAATGCCAGAAGAGACCTCAGGAATTACCCAGCAGGCTTCAGATTCAGGGTGAGGATTTGGTGACTTCCAACAAAGAGATATGAGGCGAGATCTCTCACCTTCTCGGAATGAGGTGCCTCGATGAGAACTGGTACCATACTACCGGTAGAAGCTGAGGTGGCAACTGTGTGGGGGCCAGGCCCCTGGGCTATCTTGTGTCATTTGGCAAACCACCCTGTGATTCTGAGGAAGCCGAAACAAGGGCACTCGTGGTGAAGCTAACACAGCGGCTGGCACAGCACATCACTACACATCAATGCCATCTTCACAGCTCTGTCTCCAGTAGACAGGAGATGAAGGATCGCCAACCATGAAGGGGAAGATGGTGTTCCCAGAGTGTCAGAGTGCCAATCACTGGGCTATGAGCTTCATGGCCCTTGGCTCACTGCCCATGCTCCTCAGCCCACCTTACAGGGGACCTGGAGGCTCTGTGAGACCCCAGGTTACAAAACTCCTAAGTGACAGAACTATGATGCGGCCCAGATCCTCTGATATTATCTATGTTTTTAATACCTAGTACCGAGAGGCCCCACTGTGGGACTCAGTGTGCTGCTAGCTCTGGGAATGAGGGTGAAGGGCAGGACAGACATGGGGCTAGGTATGACACAGGGGGTAACCAGGACCCAGGCGAGTTGCTAAGAAACCGAGGAGGCTGCTCCCTAGTAACCACTCTGCTTTTGCTCCCAGATGAGGCCCAGGGGACCAGGCAGACTAGATCAGTGAGCGAGGGGAAACGTCCCAGAGTGTAACAGTCACTTCCTTGGGGGCCTGTGATAAACAGGCTGAGGTAGGTTGGCGTTTGCCAGCCTGGGAGGTGAAACCTAGTGGCTCCATGCCCAACACCATGCAAACCCACTTGTCTGCAGCATGAGAAATGCTTCCACTCGTATAGAGCAAAAGTAGGGGCTAAAGTAAGGTTGCCTAGACCATCGCAGAGTGAAGAAGTAGACCAAGGTTGGAACCCCAGTGTTCTGAGACATCAAAGGCCTTAGGGTTGGTGGGAAGGCTCTGGACTAATGGGTCCCAGTCCTGTGGGGACCGTAACCATGGATGAGCTTTAGCTCCCAGCATTACCTCTCATGGGCAAGCAGAGCTCACAGCAGCTTTCTCGTGCCACAGAACACGGCAGGGCCAGTAGCACAGGCTGCTTCTGCCACTCAGGTCTCCTGATCTCCCAAACTGAGTGTTCTGTGTTCTGACAGAGCTCCCACTTACCCCAGTGCCCCACATGCTTCCCGAGAAGAAGCAGGACCAAGCCAGTACCTCTGCTGGGTCCAGAGGGCTGGTTCTACACCTTGGATGGTAAATCGAGTCGCCTCCCAGACACCAGCTCCTCTTTGCCTGAGGCCCCTGGGACAATAGGACCCTTGGGCCATCCCTTGGCTCAGGCTCACCTGCTTTGTTCAGGCTCAACCTTATCAATCTGGTAGTCACAGACCCACCCCGTGCCCCATTCCACTGGAACAACCCAGCCCTTGGGTCCCTGGCAGAAGACTGTATTCACACCGGCTCTCAGTAACTGTCTCCCTGAACACAGTAGAGGCTCTCCTGCCTTCATGATACATTTGATTGTTTGAGCTGGGAGGGGCTGCCCATCACTAGTGGAAGAGAGTACCCCCTCCTCCCAAGGCTTTTCCAGTGGCCCCACCACGCACCCTCAACCCGTTAGCGAGCCGTGTGTGCTCTTGGATCACCCCACATCTTCACTCCATCTTTACGATGCTCCCGACACAGCAAGCCCCTTACTCCAGACTCTAGCTTTCCTCAAAGGTTCCACCTACACCCACGAGCTGGGAAACTCAATGGGCTGGGTCTAAGTATGCTGGCTGGATCCAGGCCTCAGAGGCTCCCTCTGACCCTGTCCGGTCCCATTTCACCCCTCCTGGTACCCAAGCTGGTCCACCTCCAGTGTCGGTTCCTTCCCTTTGCTGAACTCTCGGGCATCCACCAGCGGCTCCACTCTCCATCTTCTTCCTCCCAACTATGGTGTGAGGGCTGAGAGCAAGACATGTAGCCTCTGGCAGATGCCAGCTGAGTGACAGATGGAGCTGGTCCCTAGTTTGGGGTCCCTAGTTTCCTGCTGTGAACTATGACGCTATGGAGTGGCTCATGTACTCTCTGAGCGGTGAAAGGAAAATAGGCACTGAGTACCCAGAATGCCCGGGGTTTGGTGAGGTGGCCTTCTGGTCACTCACACCCCTGGGAAGTAAGGGGGAGCTTGCTATTCCTCCACATCAAGAAAATGAAGAATAGCCAGGAACACTAAATTGCCAGCTACTCAAGAGGCTGGAGGGGTGGAAGCGTGTATGAGCTGAGAGCGTAGGGTCAGCCGAGGCAGGGACACCTGGGTCTGGAGAAGTACAAGGCCCTGCTCTGGGGCCATGAAGACCCAAAGCTAGAATCCAAGTCTTTTTCATCTGATCCCCAATCCCCACCCCAGGATTCTGGGACAAGGTCTTGTTATGGAGCCCTGGATGGCTTTAAACTCATGGCAATTCTCCTGCCTTAGCCTCCCAAGTGCTGGCAGACCTCTACACCTCTCAGCTGCAGTGACGATGCACAGGCTACTGGTCTTAGGCTTTCCAGGACACACAGGTGCTTGTGAGTGTAGCTGTGGACATTATACCTGCTCTCCCTGCCAGCCCAGTGGTTCTAGAATAGGGCTTGGTTGGTATTATTTCCCAGGGCCCCTGACTGAGTGGAGACTGAGGGATGGATACTCAGTGGGGTGAGACTCCAGCAGAGAGCAGGGAGGGGTGGAGAGTGGCGATCTTTGTGGCAGCAGGCACTATAGTGGGAAATACTGTGGCAGGGCTTGGGCCTGGATCTCAGCCTTGCAGTACACTGAAAGCAGTACTTGCCCAGGAGGGGCTGGCCCTGCCATTACATGCTGTGTGACCTCAGAAGAATGCTTCCACTGGAGGGGCCTCCATTACCTGAGGATAATAGGGGGTTGAGTCTTTTCCAAGTTCCTTTTAGTCCTTTGGGTCTAGTAGGGCCAATGGGATGGGCTGACTAGGCCAGTCTCAGCTAAAGCTGATGACAGGATCGAAAGATGGGGGTGAGAGAATACAGTGTTGTGGGGTGCTTGGGTGTGGCGTACCCCCACATTAGTCACCCAGGGCTTCACTGATCTCTGCATCTTAGGAGCCGAGACCGCGAAAGGGTAGCACTTGCTCTAGACCGCAGAGTGAGGAGCGGCTCTCCCCAGTCAAGCTGGCTCACTTCCCACCCCCTGAAGGCACCAGATAGCCAGGGGAGCACCAGAGCAGGGTCACCTTGCCCCGCTGCTCACCTGGGAAGGCGTTGACGTCAATGACAGCGTGCTGCCCGGTCTGGTTGTTAATGATGATGTCAATTCCAAAGAGGGACACTCCCAGCGCCTGCCGCAGCGCCCGTGACAGTTCCCGGATGACCTCATCACTGGGTCGTTCGAACACACCCTCGATCTTGTCCAGCTGTTGATACAGACACAAGTCAGGCGTCTGGGGCTAAGATTTCACACAGAGGAGAGGACCTACCATCCTTCTGGTCAGGGGGTGGGACCAACCCATGGCCAAGCCTGCCAGGGTCTGGAAGACCAAGGACTCTATGTAAGGGTGCTTATGGCCCGTGTATGAAGCAGGGCACTTTGTGCTCACGCACTACTGAGGCTGGGATCAGTATAGGGGGCCAGGGGCACAGAAGCTAGATGTATAGGGTGGGATTTGGATCCAGATTTTCGGTTTCGAAAACCCAGTCCTATTGGGAGTGAGAAAGGAGTTGAACTGTTACAGAAGCAGACAGAGATGAAGAGAGCCCTGGGGCCAGAGAGTGAAGGCAGAGAAGACTAGGAACCAGTCAGGGAGAGATGGGGCACAGGGGTACCGACCAGCACCACAGTACCGCGCCATCTTTGCCGGCATCCTATAGGAGTGAGGCTAAGGGCCTAGGGAACCCAAGCAGCCATGTGCTTTTCTCTTCCCAGCTGTGATGACCTAAGTACCTGCAAACAGCATCCCATCCCATGCGACCAGCGTGCTCCCAAAGATGCTGCTGGCAGATGCTCTTGCCTGACTCTAAGCCCAGCTTCCTGCAAAGGTCTCCACAGGCCTCTAGTCCAAGTCGGCCTGCCCTGCCCATGACACCTCCAGTGTCACACATTTTCTGCTCTAGTGTGGATGGCCTGGGAAAGGTATATGACCTCACACACAGCTGTCAGCCAGGGCCTCTAAGGAAGAGGAGGCCCAGGGAGGGACCGCAGGGTAAGGATATGGATTTAAATCCCATCAGAGATTTCTCAGTTTTGTGGACGTGGAGAAAGTACCAGGCCTGTGCCTCTATTTGCTTATCTGTACAATGGGACTGATCAGGCCTCCATCTTAGATCTGCTGGAAGGGATACCAGGGAGGGGACTCTGACAGGTCTGGCTGTGAGGAGGTGTGGCTCCTGAATACAAGGACACAACCTCCTGTTGAAGTCACTCACAATAGTGTGCGCGTTAACTGCCAGTAAGGACTGAGTTCTGGGGGAGGGGGCGGGCTGAAGTCCAGGTAAAAAACAAAACTGTGCCAAAAGCTTTAAGTGCACTGGGCCGGAGAGGTGGCTCAGGAGCTGAAAGCTTGCGTACCAAGCCTGGCGACCTGAGTCTGACCCCCAGGACCAGGGCTACACAGAAAAGCCCTGTCCCAAAAATCCAAATAAATAAAGAAAGAAAAAAAAGTAATGAACACTAAAGGCTAAACACAGAACACCTTAGGATTCAGGCAGACAGTCTACTTAGGGCTAAAAGGGGGCACTCAAACAGCCCCTTAAACACCAGGAAACTGCAGTACTCTTCCAATGGCCAAAGGTTCCAGAAAGCCTAAATACCCATTAGTCGACAAATGAACCAACTATAGCTTTCCACACAGAGAAATGTGGTTTGTCCTTAAAAAGGCCTGGAGTTCTTCCACATCACTGTGCTGAGTGACAGGAATCAATCAGGATCCATTCCACATATATAAAATGCCCAGCACAGTTTGAAACCATGAAGATGGAGGTCAGATCCAAGGTGGCCAAGGGCTGGGTAAGGAGGAATGGGGACTAAGTGTTCATGGGAACAGGCGAGGAAAAGGATTTGGAAACATAGGTGTGTCTATATGCCACTGGGAGTGTGACTGTTGCTATTAAATTGGTCACTTAAGAGCTGGAGAGATGGTTCAGCAGTTAAGAGCACTGGCTGCTCTTACAGAGGAAATGGATTTGGTTGCCAGCACCCTCTGGGATCCAATGCCTTCTTCTGATGTCTGCAGCACAGCATGTATGTTGTGCACAGACATACAAGCAGGCAAAACACTCATAAACATATAATAAAAATAATTATATCTTTAAAAAACTTTAAAATATTTATACATGTGAAATTTTATCTCAATTTAAAAAGAACAGAAAACATTGGGTATAGTGATGCTTACTTTTAATCCCAGCATTTGGGGCAGAGGCATCTCTGTGAGTTTAAGGTCAAGCCGCTTCACATAGAGCGTTCCAGGCCAGCCAAGACTACAAAGCGAGACCCTATCTCAAAACAAGACAACTGTACTGGCTAATTTTATGTCAACTTGATATAAGGTGGAGTCACTGGAGAAGCCTCAGTTGAGCAAATGCCTCCGTAAGATCGGGCTGTCGGCAAGCCTTAGGGCATTTTCTCAATTAGTGCCCACCTCATTGTGGGTGGAGCCATCCCTGGGCCAGTGGCCCTGGGTTCTATAAGGAAGTAGGCTGAGCAAGCCAGTAAGCAGCACCCCTCCATGACCTCTGCATCAGCTCCTGCTTCCAGGTTCCTGTCCTGCTTGAGTTCCTGTCCTGACTTCCTTTCATGATGGATTATGCTGTGGAAGAGTAAGCCAAACAAACCCTTTCCTCGCCAGGTTGCTTTGGTCATGGTGTTTCATCATTGCAACAGTATCCGTAACTAGGACAACAGCCAAATAAAAAAGTCCTGGCCACTAATACAATGAATCTTAAAATAGATAGCAGGGCGCTTCTACTTGAAACTCTGGTGTCCAGTGCCTGACCTAGGGAAAGTATTTCCTCAGGGGCAGCTGCCATCTGGCTACAATGGGCACTCAGCTCTGCCTGAGTTTCCTGGCCACATGGATCAGTGGATTGGCCCAGCCCATGGCCCCAACCAAGTCAGAGACCAGCCTTGGCCTTCCTGTCTCCGCTACGTGGCCCTGATCCATCACATGGCCCTCCTGGACCTTGTTTTTTCCACCCCAATGAATAGGCTAATAAAAATACCTAGCCCATAAGGCTCAGCTGATACCTGAGGCTCACGGCGTGGTGTCTGGGAGGATGGCAGCCCTCGCCACTGCCTGTTAGAGAGCCCCGTGAGGCGCTGTTTATAAAAAGTACTTTCTCAGCTCAGCTGAGGAATCTCAGAAATCCTACTGAAGCCATTTGATTATCCCAAACCAAACAGCCGGTCTAGGACTAGATAAAGGCATAGAAATGGACCCATGGATCCAAGCCAATTGAGCCGTGAGGTTCTGGGAAAGGAGGAAGAGAAGAGTCGAGCGGGCGCTCCTGCGGGCTGACCTGGTGACCCTCAACTCCCATGCTAAACGTACAGAGGTACACACTGGGCACAGGCACTGCTAGTTAACTCACAGATCTCAGGTACGTTAGGGCAAGATGAAGAAACTGAGGCTCAGGCAGGTGATGTGACTCAGGCCAGACCTCAGGCAAGGCCCATGAGACCCTTCCCCATTATGGCAGCACTGGGGATGGATCCTAAGGCCGTGTGTGTGTGTGTGTGTGTGTGTGTGTGTGTGTGTGTGTGTGTGTGTGTGAGAGAGAGAGAGAGAGAGAGAGAGAGAGAGAGACACCCAGGGCCTGCCACTGTGCTACATCCTGGGAGACGATGCTTAATAGTTCCCTGAAAGTGTAGGGAGAAGCTAGGCCCATTTTCAAAGGCATTGTCTGGGGATAGGGGCGGGGCGTCAAGGTTAGCAGAGGTCTAACGCGGCACTCTTTGGGGTAGGGGGAGGATGAGTGTTGTGGCCACTGGTTCCTGGGAACAGAATCAACTTCCAGTCCAGCTTGAAGGTGTCCTGGAGGGTGACGTCCCCAGGGAAAAGGATGTGCTTGGCATGCTGCATTCTGTTCCTTTTACCAGGTGTCAGCTCTGAAGGGTTCAGGGCACTGAGTGGCCATGTGGGTGATCACAGCCTCGGGTATACGGGGGGACCCTACACTGTTGGGCTTTAGGTAGAACCTTCCCATTGGCCAATAGGTGACGATTCAAGGTGACTTCAGGTGGCTCACTGCTTCTAGCTCTCACAGGGTTCCTATGGCACAGGTTGGTGGCTCCAGTGGCCAGCAGCCCTGTACTGTGCAAGGACGCCACCAAGGACAGCCCCTCAGGAAGGCTGTGAAAGGTCAACTCCCTCCTGCCACCCTGTTGAGCTGGGTTTTAGTGGCTGAATGGGAGGGACAGGGTGCCGGCAATCCTGAGACATGGGGAAGAAAGCCTTCCCCCATAGCAGACACTACTTATACCTCTCAGGGTGCACAGCCAGCTCCGTGCATCTGCTGGCGCAGGTGGATGGATGAAATGGCTCGGTGTGGACAGGGGCTTGCCATGTTAAGCCTAAAGTCCTGTGTTCAGTCATGAGAATAACATATAGGGACAGAAAGAACCAGTTCTACCAAGTGGTCCTCTGATTTCCAGGTCCCTGTCAATGCCACACTTTATTTCTGAGCATCCAGTTGCATCTTCAAAGAAAACACAAGCAACTAGCTGAGCTAATGGCACAAACCTTTAAACTCAGCCCTAGGTAGGCAGAGGTGGGCGGATCTGTGAGTTCAAGGCCAGCTAAAGCCACACAGTGAGACCCTGAACCAAACAACAAAGGAACTGCTGGGCTGCCCAAGACAGTAGTCTGGAACACAGCGCCAGGCCAGGGCCGTGAAACCGGGTCAGGCATCAGACACTGGCAGCTTCTGTTACTGAATCCAACCAGGAGAGGAAGAAGGACCCACCCAGGGCTCCCAGAACACCTGGAGGCACCTCAGGAGAGGCTCTGGGTTCAGAGTGTGGTGGGAAGCCACTGGAGGTCAGAATTGGGTGGGAGAGGGATTGGAGGGGGAGAGAAGACTATGGCCCTAAGGTATTTTACGTCATTAGCAAGGAATTTCTAGAGGACTCAACTTTGCAATCACACAGGTAGGGATCAAATCCCTGCTTGCCTGTGTGAGCTCAGTTGGCGATTGCTCCAAGCTTTCTGTAACATCCTTTCCGCGAAGCTGCTGTGAGGCCACTAAGGCCTCCGCTAAACCTGGCGCAGATGCTCACTCAACACCAGCCATGATGTCAAGAGTGAGGGCGCCCCATGGGAGAGCTGCCCCACCGTAAGCAGTCCTCACAAGACCCACTGTGCTCCCATGCCAGGCACATACGTGGCCGTGATGCCCACTGACACGACTGTGTGGGCTGGTCATGTGAGGACAAGGGTTCTTCCTGCCACCCAGGCACGCCAGATAGTTCTGCAGGGGACATTCCTTGGGCAGAACACACTCTGATCTGGGCTCAGACTCAGATGGCCTCCTGCCAGGCCATCATGGAGAAGAGACATACCTCGGTGAGGACCGATGACGATTCTGGCTTTGACACATTGTGGCTGTTGAAGAAGATGGACTCACGATCTGAAAAAACAAACAGGGAGCGAATGAGACCTGGAGACAGCAACACCGACACCAGGGGGCAGCACCACCCCAGGCACACTCTAGGTGGCTTCTGGTTCAGCCCAGAGCTCTGGCGAGCTAGGCACCCACAGCTGCATCACAGATCGATGTGTGCCATCCCATCAGGACCCCAGTTTCAATTTGTCCTCCTATACAATAATGAATGGTTTCCTGGGACACCTTCACCACCATCTCATAGCACTATATGTGGGTTTCCTTAAGACCTAAGACTGGGCAGGCACATATATGCACAGAAGGCTGGGAAGAGAAGGGGCAACAGTGGTGGTACTCTGTGCACCCAGATATCAAAGGTTTGTCCTGAGGGAAGAAGCCTACTAAATGCCATTTGGTCCAGGTGGTTCCAATCAGGTGGCCACTGGTACGTGGGCTTAACAAAGGGATCTTTTGGTTCCCAATGACTTAATAGGAACCTGAACAAGGGCTTTCATAGGCTCCCCCAGGAAAGCCTTGCAATATCCCAGTCTCCTCCAGTCCACATGTCCTGTTCCTGCGGATGCACCCACTCCCCCTCAGCCCCAGTGGCCCCAGAGAGGCAGTTCAGTCCCAGGAATGGGATGGTGCATTCATTTATGCCCCCAGTACAAATGTCCTTGAGGTGTGAGGCACGATTTGCTCCGCGGAAAAGTAATGTTGGGTAGACAGTTTGCAATGCTCTCAAGCACTTGGAAGCATGGACACAATAGAGCAAGAATCACACAACCACAAATCTAGGGGTTGAGTTCTGGCCATTAACCCCTCATCACCCCACCCCCACCAAGAAGAGCACAGGGTCACTCTGGACTAGAAGCCCCCAAGGGATCCTGACAGCCCCTGCTCAAGTTCTTGCAAAAGAGATGTCATGGACCCCACCCTGCAGGACACAGTGATTATCCCTGGGACCCAGGCCCCCAGGCATTAGGATAGAATGGGCACTGGCTGAGGGCCTGTGTGCCAGGGCTCAGGTGCCTGTTGTGGCTGCCATGACCCCCAGCAGCTTCACGACTCTATGGCGCCATAAAAATCATGCACAAGGAAGTGATTCAGGCAGAGCCAAGCAGGCAGGCGCTGAAGTACCTGGCATCCTTCCCGCTAGCGGGGCACAGAGGCCCCTGGCCACCCCGGTGTGCCCGACAGTCCTCCCGCTGCTCCGACCAGAGCCAGTCCAGACGGGGGGCATGAGAGATGGTCCTGGGGAGGAGCCTGGGAAAAATAAACACCCTGCGGGACTTGTGTCAAGCACGCCCACTCTTGGGCCCTACGAACCTTCAGGGGTGGCAGGGCCCGACAGGCCAGAGGCTAGACCAGGGTTTCATCACTTAGCATGGCTCTCTGGCCTTCTGGAGGCACTGTCAATCTTCTCCTAAACTCAGGGTACCTCCCACCCCAAGTCTCTATAGGTCCCCAAGAGCAAAGGCCAGGACAGCAGAGTGGGCACGTGGTGTGAGGACAGGCCACCAGCGCACGCAGATACAGCAATGCTCAGGGATGCCGGGAAACCTGCAGGATTCCGCACGATGTGCCCACAGGCACTTGGCTGGCCTAGTAAGAATGCCGGGGACTTGTGATGCCCACTACACTGGACAGATTATGTCCCCAGAAGTTTCATATGAATCCTGGTGCCTGGCTCCTGAGGAAGCTTTAAGATAGCTGGTCCTGCTAACAGACGGGAGGGGCCTGAGCCTTGCTCCTTAACCTTAGCAGCAAGGCTCTTGTTCCCAGAGGCACTCATGGTTTGGTAGCCCCAGCCAGGGACTGCTGCTGGACTAATCGCCCAAACTCTCAGCATGGGGGCCACCCCACTCAACTTCCAGTAAGAGTGGGAGGCCAAGGGGGTGCCACGGGGAAGTTTTGCTCTCAGAGAGAGAAGAAAAACAGATTTGCAAGGAGGGTAAACAACCAGATTGGCTCAGACATCTCAGCAATGCAGGCTAGGACCATACTGTTTGCAGCCTTTGTGTTCAGTCTCCTGTCTTTCCCTATGGGGCATGCTACCATCCAGTCACTGAACAAAACCCTGCACCTGCAGCTTACCTGCTTAGTCCTCAAGGGCTCTCTCACCATCCCCAATCTTTGCTCCCTGAAGACGTCATCTCCAATAAAACTGGCCCTCCGGTTATGGCTCCCCTGTGTTATTCCTCAGATTGCTCATGAACCTGCCTGGCTGGCTCCTGGCTGGTCCTCTAGCATACCACCCAGGGCGAATCTGTGGCCATGTGCAATAAAAGCAGCATTTATGACTTCAGGCGTCCGGGAGTCAGCTCTACAAACTACAGACCCAGGTTATCTGCATCTGCAAAGTCTCCTTAGAGCATGGCCTCACTTGTTCATTTGCATATCGCTTTCACACTGCATCAGCATCAAATGACTGGGAAATACTTAGTCACCCTTTCAAAGAAGTAAGAGGTACCACTCTCAGTATCCTTAGGACCAGGAGGGAGAGGGAGAGAAGAATCCTTACACAAAGCTAGAAGCCCAAGGCAATATGGATTCAGGGTCAAGGTGCAGGATGAAAGAACATCAGGAAGGAGCCGAAGGCCACGAGAGTGAACCACGGGCAGAGAACACGCACAGAACACGAGCACAGAACACGAGCACATTCGCTGTGTATTTTTTAGTGGCTCTCTAAGTGAGACGTCCTTGGGTTCCAGTCCAAGGTACCTGTAATGTGCCATGGCTAAATAAGTCACACACATAACTTTGGACACTAGCATGTAAAGAACTGAAATGCACGTGAGAATCAGAGAAGAACAGCAGCTGTGGAGTGAAGATGGCCTTGTCTGTATCTCAAGTCAGGAGATCTAAGCCCAAGGAGGACATGGGAAGCTGAGGGACCTACCACACTATGTGGCCTGCGCTGGAAGATTGGGTGGGCTCTCGAAAGAAGCCAGAGCCTCAAAACCCCCTTCCCAACTAGTCAGGAGAAGGTGCTGCTGAAGCCTGAGGTCTTGGTCAGGCTGAGAATAGGCAGGCCAAAGTTGGAACCACGCCACTTCCGGAATAGACAGACACACTGAATGCCACTCTGATCCCCAGCCCACCTCCGAATGTTATGCCTCAGGGCGCTGCACGGCCTAGAAACAATCAGAAGAGAAGACACACTGACAGGTTCTTGCCTTCTCCTGGCTCCCAGTGCCAAGGCGGAAACTGGCCCTAGTGCTTTACAACCAGGAAGGAGAGGAGGAAACAGTGAACAAACACGCCTTTGTGGGAGCAGGAACGGAGATCAGATGCCACATTTCATTCAGAGATGAGAAGATTCGGGAAAGAAAGGAAAGGGCGTGTCATAAGCAAGGCAGAACTGTGTGACGTGTGCGTGTACATGTGGTGTGTGGGGGGGTACTGGAGATGAAAACTGGACCCCTTTATGCTAAGAAATACTCTGGTAGGCAAATAAATGTTTTGTAAAAGCCTTGGTCTCCTCTGTCGCATAGCCTGCAAGAGTATCTCTTGGTGGTGTATGTGACTAGTGTCAGGATGGGGCTGTCCCAAACCACCTGGTCTCAGCAAGGACATGAGAATCCACACATAGCTGCAAATTGCCTGCCCTCTCCTGTGTTAAATTGAAAGAAGCCTCAGAGGGGACAACAGGAGGAGATGTTGCAAAGGGATGGCGACAGTCAGTTCCAGAAAAGGGCCCTCCAGGGGTCTTGAGGAAGGCCTCTGCTTACTCTGCTGGAGCTGGTGAGGCCTTCAGGCCGCACCAGGGAATCCAGTGTCCAAGAAATCCTCAGAGAGAGCCATGTTGTCCTGACCCACAGACTTCTGGAACTTGCCTTAGAGGGGGTTTCAGGACATATTCTTATGAGCAGCTCCAGTGTCAGGACATCTTTAACTGAACGGCTCAGAAAAGCTGGTACCCAGGATGGATGGAGGTGAGCATATAGTGTTCAAGGCTGCTCTCAAGACCCTCAGGGACAATGAGTCATGCAAACACCTCTACCACGTGACATCCAAGGGATGCCAGGGGAAGGTCACTGCAGCCTGGCAGGAGTGATTATGCCCACTGGGACTTGCCTGAGGGCCTCCACAGGGATCTTTGTGACTCTGTAGCTGCTGCCTGCTTTGGAAATCCTGATACACCTTGACAGTTGCGGAAGCCACAGATAATTCCAACTCAGAGTCCCCGTTTGGAAAGCAATGCAGAACAGTCGGTAGTCACCTCCCTCCCTCACTTCCCACACCTGCCTAGCCACACCTACCATGGCATACTCCTGAGTATCATCACTGGGTGGGTCCAGGAAAATTCTTGAGGGACAGGAACCTCTAGAAATTTGCTAGAGTTGGCAGTGGCTCTGAGCGCTGGAGCCCCACAGTGCCTTTGGTACATGGTCTCTCATTGGTTCTTCTGGACCTTTTTAATCCATCTACTGTATACAATTTTTTCAACTTAGGCCATTTCTCCCTCACCCAGAAATAGCATGGAATACCAGGAGACAGACACTGGGTATCCATCATGGCCCTGCCCCAGGCACAGAGTGACAATACGAGGGACAGCGGATTACCTGACGTGCCCGCAGAGAAGTTCTTGAGGGAGGGTCTCTGGACCACTGTGTAGGACTCGCCCACCACAAACACCTTGTAAAGTACTGCATTGTGGTTGATGAAGTTCTGGACCACACAAGGGGGCTGGATGGCGTTCAGTCCCTCCTGGTTGAACACAATGGCCATCTGAGGAAACAAAGACCAAAGGCTCCATCAGAGTCCATCAGCTTCCTGCCTCCGACACAGCGAGGGGCTTGTCACTTTCCTGGGCACCACCACCATGACCGCTCCCTGGCCCTATGACAAAGAGCTGGTGCCCAGGATAGACGGAGGTGACCATATGAGGTCCTCCACCAAGTCCAAGGCTGCTCTCCGGAGGGTCCTCCAAGACCCTCAGGGACAATGAATCTTTCTTTGAGGATTCCCAAAGAAGAGTTTCAAGGCATAGTGAGTGGAACAGTGGGCAGGAACACCTGTGAACTGGGCAGCTCCTGTTGTGGGGAGTGGGGCTGGTGCTGGCAAACCTGGTACCCATTGGGTCTGCCGTACAAAACTCCTGAGAACCTTATTCACTGTCATTCTGAGGAATGGGGGCCCTCTAGGTTGGGTGTTCTGCCACAAAGATCCAAGAGGGAAAGACAGGAAGCAGTCGCGATGAGCCAGGAGTAGGAGGCCTTGGGTCAGAGTCACCTTGGGTTATAACATCACTAAGTGCAGGAAGCCTCACATCACCCCCATGCGCAGGGAGCCTTCATGTACCCAAGGACGGGGTGCACATTGCCGGCTGTGGACTGGGAGAGCACCCAGTGCTGGGACAGCAATAGAGGACATGTATCTACATACATCTGGGGGTCTGTTGGCCTCACTGGGGGTTGATGATCACACCTAGGGGTTAAATGCCAGAGACTCCACAGCGTCCTGCCCCAATGTGAATCCATAAATCCCAACACAGAGCAGCTGTTCCTATAATAATCAAATCATCACTGTGGGCCAGGTTCCATGGCAAACTACACAGTAACTCCCTCACCACATTTGACAACTGTCAAATCCCCAATTAGAAATATGGGCAGAGGTTCAGAGAGGCACAGCAACTGCCTGGAGGCGCACAGCAGGTAACACGCAGCCCTGGCGGTAGTGTTGGCTCTGCACTGTCCCAAAGCTGTGTCCCCTGTCCCCTCCTGACACAGGCTACTAAGTCCTTGAGACAGAGGAGCTACTTGGTGGTGGCAGGGGACAGCACTGCGGCTGCTCTGGAGCCTCAGGGTGCAGCTGCAGCTGGGAATCCAAGCAGTCAGGGTCCCCCTCCCCATGGCTCTTGACCTTAGCAGACAGCTGCCCTTGCAGCTGGTGGTGACTTCCTTCCCATGGCAGGGCCACCTCCTGGCACAGCCTGTCCCCTGGTGTTCTGACACTGTTTACATACATTTCCCCATAAACATCAGCCAGGAGATGGTAAAAGCCATGGCATCTGGCCTTCCATTTTTAGTCTTCTCCTGGGAAGTACTTCTGATCCCGGGAAGTACTTCTGACAGCCGGGCTATCTGGGTGGGCTGTCCCCACAGAGCTACTTAGCTCAGCCTTGAGGATGTGGGGCCTTGGGGGCTAAGAAGACTACAGGGATCCAAGGGCCCTCAGCATAGCCTCTGCCCTTCTTACCCAAGTCCTCACAGGCTTACTGTCCCATTGTCCCCAAAGCATCATCTCTCCAGAGACTCTGTACTGGCACTGGGACTCCTTGCCACCAAGGCAGGGAGGGTATCCATGCAGAAGGCAGGGCCTCAGCACATCGAAGGTATGGGATCTAGTCTCAAACTCAGCTGAAGCAGCAGCGCTGAGACTCCTCTCCAAAGCTTCTTTGGGAGCCCAACCAGTACCTATAGTGATAGACTGATGGACTCGAGGCTGGAAAACCAAGGACTCACTAGCCTGGTGACTTCCGTGGGCTCTGCTACAAGCTGCAGGTGTGTGTCTCTCAAATACACACGTGGAGGACCTTAGCCCCATCATGATGGCACTTACAGGTGGTAAGGCTTGGATGAGATCTCAAGGATGGGTCCCTCTTGAGAGCCCTCACGAGAGTTCACTGTCTCCCCTCACAGGTCTACGCATGCGTAAAGCATCAGAGGATGCACGGAGAAGGTGGCCGAGGTACGCTCTTACCAGAACCAGGCTGTGGCCTTCTGAGCTGGGAGGCATGTCTGCTGTGTAAGCTGCCCATCTGGAAGCCTCGTCCCAGGCAGACTAAGCCAGGGTCTAAGGTGGGGAAGGCACCTTAGAACTGGGGACAGGAAGTGGGGTGAAGTGGGGGATAGGACAAAGCCATGGCGGTTCTTCTGCTGACCTACATCCCCTGCTGCTCAAATCAGCAGCAGCAGGCGCAGCTCTAGCAACAGAGCCTAGCAGGGCCCCATGAAAGCAACGGTGATGCGCGGACAGGAAAGTCTTCCACTTACCTCATGAGAGTTGGTGCCATGAGCCACTCTGGTTTTGCAAACTGTGTGGGAGAGACAGAAGCAGAGAGGAATCAATAGGGCTGGTAACCACATGGCCAGACAAGGGGGACTGGGACCCTCCGGATAGGAACCTCCCAGCTAAGTATTAACCAGGCCCAGCCTTGCTATTGCGTGAGACTGGGGGTGCATTTGGGATGGTAGGAACTCTTAAAGATGCCTTCAGCAAAAGACACAAAGGGCTGGTGGGACCTAAGGAGATGACAGTCACCGTGTCAAGTCATGTCTGTGCTCAGGGTAACATGGACAGAGGTCCCAGGCCAGATAGGAAGAGCTCCTTCCTCACAACCTGCAAGGACCCTATCAAGGTATGGGCAGAGGTTGAGACCCAGGGCTGTGTACTCTTCTTGGCATATTCAGGGCCTTTGACTGCTTCAAGAAAGCTCAAAACTACGGGAACTGTAAGCATTACCCTTCTGTGGGGACCCTGGTGTACATACTGAAGGGGAAGGCCAGGCCGTTCTGCTCCAGCAGCCTCATGGTGTCATCTCCACACAGGCTCGTGAGCTCCATGAAGGGTGGTGAGCAGATCCTGTCATCTAGGGCAGAGGGAGTCTGGTCAGCACACCCCTCCACAGCCACCCACTACACCCACCTCCAGTCCCCAACTCTGCAGCCCTGTGTGCATGTGTGTACAATAAGCCAGGTGTAGTTTTTCACATTTTCTGCCGACACAAAAGCCCTGATGTTTTGGTTATGAGCCTAGCCTTTAACGGCTGATCCATAGCTCCAGTCCTCTGTTGGTATAAAATTCTTATAAGCTAACTGGAAAATGTGAGGCGCAATGAAAACTCCCGCAGTTTTACAGCTATAATTACTAAATTCTTAGTCTTTGAGTCTATGTTTATACACAGAGAGCTATCTAACCGAATGCCACGTTGTATGCTGAAAATTAACCTGATGCATTGCTGTCACCTCCTTAGCTCGGGAGCCCTTTCCCCCATCAGTATCGTGGTTTCCTGACCATCAGAGACAATCACTGTCACGTGGTTAGCTCTGAGCACAGGCTCCGCATTGTGCTGACGGGCCTCCCAAACATCCTCTATAGCCTGCAAAGTCACCCTCTAAGGAGGAAACTGAAGTCAGATGGAAGTAGGCTAGCCCCTCACAAAGATGCACCAGGCTCCCTCCTCGACCTCCTACTCTCCCTGTACCTCGCGATAGCCAAGCCACGCACCAGCTATGCCCACAGGTCCCAGAGGGTGTGGCTGTCGTCTTTGATGCTCATCCTGTGGGATCCTTTTAAGCATTTTATTTGTGTGTGTGGAACAGGGCGTGCACATGCTGTGTACATGTGTGGAGGGCAGAGAACAGCTTTCCCAAATTGAGTCTCTCCTTCCATTATGTGGGTCCTGGGGATCGAACTCAGGTCTTTAGGCTTGGCAGCAGGCACCTGATCTCATTGCCCCCTCACTCCATGAGTTCTAACACTGCTGGACTGGGGGCAAAGGCATGGAAACTGGCTTGCATACTATTCATACTTCCTGATAATTCTGTTGACAGGCCGGGTTTGGTTAAAGCAGATGACTGGTGGGAAAGCAAAGACATTTTCAATCCCTACTGATTATTTAATTACTGGTTTGTTATTGCTGCTTCGTGTCATAGTCCCCACCCCTGAAAAGACCATGAGCTCCCAGGAGGTGGGTCACTCAGGACGGGGCATAGGGACTTGGGAAGGCTGAGTGTTAGCGGGGCAAGGGTAGCCCACTCCCCACAGACTTGGAAACCCAGTCCAAAACAAGCCAGCAAGTGCTGTCCCAGAGCACCTGGCCCCATGGCCCAGCGGCATGGTAAATCAAGATTCAGCCTCATCTTCCTCATAATGTTTTCATCCTCATTCTCCTTAGGCAAAGTTCAAACTCCAAGTAGGTGCAATAGTTTGGGGGTGCAGTTTCTCGGGGACCCTGGGAGGGGGTCTAGAGCCAGTGTTTGAAGACTGCTCCAGTCATTCATGCTCCTTCACTCTGTGGCACCTGGCGTCTGACTGTACAGATTCGGCAGATGCTCTCTGTACAGGAGCAGCATTTCGCCAAGTCACGTGACAGTCCCAGGAGAGCAGGCTGACCTAGCGGCCCACGGGTATGGGGTTACCCACTGAAGTGTACGGCCTACTCTCGGCCACACCGGCAGGCCCTTCCCTCTATAGCTGTGGAGGGAGGATGAAGACTGTACAGGGGGCTTTGTGCCCCATGGCTGGGATGCCCACACCTGTGGCCCAGGACTTGGCCCTCTCCCCTCTTTCAGGAAGACTCAGAGGCTGCTGGGATCCTACCAGCCATGTTCTCTAAGAGTGCACAGTCTCCCCTCAGCAGAGCTATCAGAGTTGGCGGATTGGCCTGCCCTTCTGAGATCTCAGCATCTTCCCTGCTGTGGCCCATTCAGACTTTTTATGGCAACATCTCCATAAACTCTTGTTCTGTGCCACACACAGTTCAACACAGTTACTCACTGTGGTGGTCTAAATGCAACAGGCCCCCATAAACCCACAGGGAGTGGCACTATTAGGAAGTATGGCTTTGTTGGAGCAAGTGTGGCCTTGTTGGAGGAAGTGTGCCACCGTAGGGGTGAGCTTTAAGGATTCCTATGCTCAGGATACCGCCCAGTGTCTCAGTTGGCTTCCTGTTGCCTGCAAGATGTAGGACTCTCAGCTGCTACCTCCAGCACCACGTCTACCCGCATGCTGCCACACTCCCACCATGACAATAATGAACTGAACCTCTGAACTGGAAGCGAGCCACCCCAACTCAATGTTTTCTTTATAAGAGTTGCCGCGGTCATGGTCTCTCTTCACAGCAATTGAACACTCACCCTCACTGGGCTCCCTAAGGAAGCACCCCTGTTACCCCATTAACAAATGAGAAACCAGCAACAGAGGTGAAGCTCTTTGCATGGAGCTCTACAGTGAGCAAGCAGTGCAGTCGGGGGCTCATGCCAGTGGCTTGACCCCCAGGTCTGAGCTTCTGATCACAACTACCCTGGCAGACATATCCTTGAGGATGACTGACTCACGCTCACAACCAGACAAAGTACTGAAAATGTGTGTCAGCGGAGTGCTCAGCTACAGGTGGGACACTGACTTCACCCCCCTCCGAGACCACCAAGGAAGACTGTCAAAGTCAGAGGCTGGGGAGGACTGAGCAGCGGTGTCCTCTGGACATGACAGGGCCTCTGCACTCAGGAGCTCACGGTGGCTGTGCCTGCACAAGACCTATATGAGATCCAGCCAGTCAACATTCAAAGGGGGGGGGGCTCACAAGCACCAACCCCTGATGTATGTGGGCCTTCTGTCTATGTGTTATTTTCATTGGTTAATAAAGAGACTGCCTTGGCCCTTTGATAGGACAGAAAATTAGGTAGGCGGAGTAAACAGAATAGAATGCTGGGAAGAGGGCAATGAGGCAGATGCCATGGAGCCAGCCACCAGGTCAGACATGCTGAATCTTTTCCGGTAAGCCACCACCTCGTGGCGCTACACAGATTATTAGAAATGGGTTAATCAAGATATGAGAATTAGTCAGTAACTAACTCTCTAGAGATAACGGGCCAGGCAGTGTTTAAATGAATACAATTTGTGTGTTATTATTTCTGGGGCTAAGCTAGCTGTGCGGGAGCCGGGCGGGATAAAAAGCAGGCCTGCCCCCAGCTCCTCACTACAAACCCCTAACTGAATAGGTGTTGGCAGGTGACAGCTTCTTGGGGAGGGAGTAACAGGCGCGGCCAAGGGTAGGTCATACACATCAGCAGAGAGCCCCATGCCCATGAGTACACAGGCTGCAAACATGGGTCTCAGTGAGGAGAGAGAGAGGGGGGGGGAAGTTGGGGTGTGGTGAAGTGGGGAGACAGATGGGTGGGGATGGATCTGGGAGGAGTTAGGGGAAGGAGTAGAAGATAGATATAATCAAAATACATTTTAAAGAAATCTCAAATAATTAATTAAAATTTGTTTTTAAAAAGAAGTACCCACTGAAAGCCCAATCCATGTGTCCAACAGCATCATTCCCACCCTGTGGCAAGTCTCCCAAGCCGGCTGCTTCAACATGTATCCATGGAAACCAACTCTTCGCTTCACAGAACCCCTCCCATCACAGATCTGTGGACTCCATCTCCTTCAGTGCCCCACAGCCTAGAGCAACTCACACAGGTTAAACTGTATGCCCTGCTGAGGTCCCAGAGTTTCTGCCCATCTGCTACAACAGGACTCGACCTGAACTGTCCCTGTGCCCAGGCCTGTGACCCATGCTGCACACATTCAGGAGCTAATTTGGCTATTAGATTGGCTGTCGTGTCCCAAAACATTTTTTCTCCTTTAAAACAGGTCCAAAGTGCAAGATTACGGACTTTTTGGGTTATATACCTACCAGTCTTTGGTAGTCCAAGGCGGGAGGATTGTGAGTTCAAAGCTGCCTGGGCTACACGGTGAAACTCTGTCTTTAAAGAGGGGGTAGTACTTGAGGTGACTCAGTGGGTGAGGACTCTTGCTACCTAGCCTGATTCCCACGGTCTGATCCCCGGAGCTCATGAGGAAGAAGAGAACTGATTTTCACAAGCTGTTCTCAGACCTCCACATATGTGCTGTGGCATGTGTGTGCGTAGACACACACATACAATAAATAAATGTAGTTTCTGAAAAGGGTCAATGACAATTAACTGTAGCTGTTATCACGACTGTTCTATTCACTAGAGAGTTATGATTTATCCCTCATTACACATAATTTATAAATTAAACTTTCATGGTGCTGGGGATCGAACCTGGGAACTCACAAAGGCTCAGAACTCTGCCACTGAGCCATAACCCTGGAACTGTATGTTAGAATGCACTGTAGGGGCATGTGAGGAAAACCACAGTGAGACCAGGGCTCAGCACTGTCTGAGGGTTCAGTCAACTACTGAGGAGGGGGGTGTGAATAAAGAAAACTACAGCAAACCCAGTGCCCAGCACTGTCTGAGGGTTCATCCAATTACTGGGGGGTGGTTAGAATTCATCTTTCATGGGTTAGGGGCTGTCACAGAAGTGGGAAGCCATGTCATCATCGCAACAGATGTTTTTATAAAGCATTTGAGGTGCTAGAGAGAGAGATGGACTGCCTAAGAGCACTGGCTCCCCCTGCAGAGCGCTGGGTTCAGTTCCCAGCACCTACATAGTGGCTCACAACCATTTGTAACTAAACTTCCACGGGACCTAATGCCTCTTCTGACCTCCACAGGTACCAGGACTTCATGTGGTACAAAAGACATACATATAAGCAAAACGCTCACACTTATAAAATAAAAGCTAAGAAAAGCATTTGATAAAACCCAACAGTCTTCATGGTAAAAATATCAATGAACAAGATGCAGAAGGGGTTTCTTTACCCCTGCTGAACCCAAGGTGAGGGCAGAGAAAGGATGAGCGTCCATCTCTTCCCAGAGGTGTCTGAGGTCACTACACAGAAAACAGGTCACATCCAGCACTGAACAGATCAGTTAGCTCTGCCTTTCGGAACTCCTGAATAGGTAAGAGGTGAGTCTGGGGAGTTCGTGGGGCCAAGAAAGAGGGATA